AAGGAGCAAGATTTTGCTTATTACCTTTAATTCTTCCAGTGACATAGAGAAAGCCATCCTTGTCTAGTTTTCCTAAATCTCCAGAATGCAGCCACCCAACCTCATCAAAGGCCTCTTTTGTTTTGTCTTCCATATTTAAATAACCCATGAAAACAGTCCTTCCCCAGAAACAGATTTCTCCATTGCCTTCTGAATCTTCGTCCACCAATTTCACTCTACAGCCAGGCACTGGTTTACCACAGCTATTGGAGATGAGCAGAAAAAAACCCACAAGGAGCACAGTAATATTAAACATAATACTGATAAGACATCTAACATGCCAAATCACTGAACTTATCAAAATATTAGTGACTGTAAATAACACCCTGCTGTAGCTGTTTGAAAGCTATGGAGTATCAATTCACTAGGGCAGCTATGTTAGGGTATCTAAGCACTTTTCAGCTGTCTATCTTGCCCTGTACTTCCTGTTTTTTTTCCCCTCCGTATCTTCAGGCATAAAAGCACTTTTGTATTTGAGGTCTTGCATTTGAAAGCTATCCTACCCTGAGCCAGGGCTAGGACATTTATCAGATTTAGTAACTGTGTTCTGCATATAATGCTGTAGATCACTTTCAGTGCTCTTGCCGTGGCATGCTACGGAGGTAATGTGTTCAGCTTCTGACCTGGAAGTTATTTTGCCTCCCAAAGTCACAATAGAGTGGCAATGCATTGAGAGAAAATAAGATAAGCAGCAAGATCTTTGCTGAACTTAGTAAATGCTCTCTTGTAAATATAATTAAATATACCATATTCTTGGAAAAAAAAAAAAAAAAAAGTTACCTGTGCTGCCTGTAAATATAGGGCCCAGACAGGCAATGTGGGCCTGTGGTCTCACTCATCCCATAGGCCTCATACAAGGTGATGTTCAGACCCAGGAAGAAATACAGTGTTTCTGTATTGAGAGGAGCAGCACCAGAGAAGTGCTTCTGACAAGAAGAAAAACCCAGTGCATTGCGTATTTTTGCAAGCACTAAGTAGTCTGCTAACCTTGTCCAGAACTGCTTTAATTCACTGCTGAGTACAAAACACACAAGAGAAGGACAGTAAGCCAGAGCAACCTATGAAATTTCCAAGACAAAATATCAGACCCAAATTTTGTTTATTTGCCATTTAGTTTTGGGTATTGACAGTAAGAACAAGTTATATATTTGTCCTTTTTTTAGTGTCTTTCATTGCTAGTGAACTCCTAACTCTTGAGGTACCCGAATACTGAAAATACATACATAATCTATAAAAATGTACTGTATAAAACAAAGCTCTTGCATTCCTAGTTCTTTATCAGTTAAACGTGTCTCTAAGAACCTATACCACCAAAATCTGAAATTTGCAGGACCTATCTGAGAAGCGGAATGATCAGACAAGCAAAGCAGTACTCATTGCACTATCTTTTGGAATATCATTTTCTGTAAGCAATTTTACACTTAATTGTGTCACGCTTTAAAGAGCTTTGGAACAGGAAAGAACTGTGAATTAAGTTAATATTTGAATTTGTACAACATTCTTTATCTGGGCAGTTTTATGGCGAAAAACTCCGATGTTATTCAGAACAGAGATGATGCACTTAGAGCTTAGAGGATTCACAGGGGGTGCCCCTGAGCTTCTGTATGGAAATGAGATGTTCTTACTCACATGGTGCATACCCCAAACTGTCATGAGCCGGTCTATCTGGGCTGTCCCCCTAAGCTTTCCCCCTCTCATACACCTCCTCCAAATTCACACCCTTTCCTCACAACAGTAACTGGCACTTGCACAGTCACATGGTGCACTGCATATCAGGGAACTCTCCCAGCTGAAAACTAACCTGTTCAATTCACAAAAGATGCAAAGTTGGGGGACATGTTAGTGGGCGTATGTTCTTCAGGAGGACGGAGGGACACTTTTAACAGTCACCTGTGTTTAAGATCAGCCTACTGTAATTGATAACTACACCCTCCCTCTTGCACTATACTTGCTGTGTTGCTAGGCCAAATTTTACCCATTTACACGTAAGAGTCTCACTGATGTTTCATAGTTTATTACAAGCAGATAGCTACTTTCAGGTTGACCAAAATCTCTATCATTATAATACATACCTGCTTGAGCAGTTTAGGTTTCTCTCTAAGCTAAGCGACATAGCCCACGACAGGATTTTCTTCTTCATAAATCCTGACTGAGAAAAAGCATCCTTTAATTTCTCCATAATTTTCTCCCATACTCGGGGAACTCCCATGTGGGATGTTGGCTGCACTTCTTTTAGTGTGTTGATCAAGCTGCCCTGTTAAAATAATGAAGTCATTTCAAACACTGCAAAAGGTTCACAGCAGTGATAAAGAGGTTCAGTGATGAAGTCTGCATCTTGCAATGCTAACATGAAGAACATCACTACAAAGGTAGGATATAAAGAACGACTGCTGGACCTACTCCAGTCAGACATACACACTAACACGTGCCAACTCTGACACATCAAGGGAGGTACATATACAAGAAGGAAAAGGCACTGGTGGTTTAGTTCTTTCTGCCTCCCTTTCCTCTAAGAATTGCTCATACTTCTTTTGCTTTAGATGCATATTCTTCTGCCTTAATGGAAGCTTATGGATCTGGATTATACATTTTAATTGGAGTCTAGAGCACTGGCTCACAAGTCTAATGGATTTTATTTTTCCGTAATTCTTACAATAATGGACTCTCAATCCTTCTGCACAACTTCAAATGTAATATTCTCTCCTTGGCATGTTTTTGTAGAAGAAGAACTGCAAGCTTAATTAGGTGCAATACAAGACAGATACCTTCAGAGCATCTGGCTCAGCAAAGTAGACTTGCTCTCCCCATTTGATTCCAGTCCACAGGTCATATATCTGTGCAGCTATGTGGCTGAGGGGAAGATAACTCACTATAGTCTCCTGTTGGACCTCTGCAGGTTGCATATCTCCTGCTCTGCTGCAATGTGCTGATGTCCAAGTTATCTGTTTAAATAAATTATTTAAAACACATTAGGTACGTTGTTTTTTTTTTTTTCTTTTTTTCCTTTTAACATGAACTAAGGATCCTTGTGCTATGCTAATGTAACTATGAAGAATCTGTGCTCACAGAAATTGTTGAAGACCTTGCAATCTTTGCCAACACACCAGACTGTCAGTTCTCAAGGGTACACTCAGTCAAAAGCAAGATTAACTTAGCAGCAACATAGAGGTGCAGACAACATAAGTAAATGCAGTCTTTCTGCTACCTTACTGGGCTATAAATACTACTTGCTCCCCATGCCCTAGTAACACACTGAGCAGGGCAGCCATGGGCTGGATGGACAAGGAGTAAATTCACCTGCCCTTTCTTCTGCAACTCTCCTACTGTGCACACTTTCTATCAAGAGGGCATTTTTCATCAGAGCTCTGTCTATATGTTTACCTGAAAAAGAATTATAAATGCTCAGTGACTAGTGATCTCATGGCACAGCTTAGTATCAGCCATGAGCTCCTTGTATAGCACTGATCATCACCTGGCTAAGCACTAATAAGGAAGAAAGCAGCTGTATTCTGCGCCTCTGGAAGCCTCTGGGATGGTCACCATGGTGGTTCACAAGTAACACTCTCCCCCTCCCTCCCCCCATGTAGCAGCACTGCATGCATGAATATGTTTGGAGATGTGCTACTTGACTTCTTAATGAAACCGTATGATGTCTCCCCCGCCTTCTCCTAACTCCCACTTTACCTCAGCAGATGCAGTTCAATGATGCTAAATATGTGTATCTTCATTATCAGAATACAGCATATGAAGACCCACAAATATATATGATGGTATGGGGCAAGGGGAGATATGTGTGCACAGCACAAAAAACCACCACAAAACAAAGCAAAAAAAGCAACAAAAAAGAAACAGCTCTTTCTCACAGGAGTCTGTAATCTAAAATGGGTAGGGCAGGACACAGAAATTAGATTATTCAAGATGGCAGGGAAGAGATACAAGTCACATGCAATAACTGTTATCACAGTATGTTCCTGCCAGCTCCTTTTCTTTGTAATAAGTTAGGAGGTACAAGAGTACATTTGGTCTAAGGAAATACAGATTCTCAAGAGAGGTTTTTAAGGAGCAGCATCCTGTCAGGCCAGGCCACCCCAAATTGGTGTGCAGCATTGGACAAGCGGCCGTGGGAGACTTACACAGTAGGCAGAGTGGCATGTCTCTGATATGTGGTTTATATCGATTGCTTATCCTTATCCTCCAAGCCTCGCAGCACGCATGCACACTCACAGCAGATCTGTGTGGGTGCATAGATGACTGACTCAGCATTGGTTTTGCACATGGACAGTGGCAAACATCTTTTGACTAAAGAAGGCAGCAGCATAGTTACAGGCAAGGCATGTTTTCCACCCTTCGTCAACATAAAAATAGTCTGTTTGTGATCAGCAGCCAGGAATAGTTTGGCAACTAACACGAAAATGACACCAGACTCCTTTGAGATGGAAGAGCACAGGATTTGCAATGTCAGATCACTCTTTTTGTCTATCAAGTCCACCACGTCCTGCTTCCAGATACTACTGTACTGATTCCCTACGTTTGGGAGAATTGCTTCTCACGGTGTGCATGTCTGCAATAGTTTCTGCATTATTTTTAGGAGGAGAGGCCACAACTTAGGCCAGCCCTTTCACAGATTGTCTATGTGTTCAGAAAAGCTCCCTACCACTTTCCACTCCTGCTCAGCCACCTTAAAAAAAAATTAAGTACGTAAAAAACCCAAAGCAAATACAGTCATGATCTTAGCTAGCAGACCTCTGAGGAAAGTCCTTTTTGCAAATGACTTTGCTTTTCTCTGCCACTAGAAAATTTTCTGTTTGCAACAATGCAGGTAGGACTATGCCAAATACCAGTATTATACACTAGAGTTGTTTTATCCTCCCGTGACAGATGTAGAAACCCAAGTCTAGGAATATAATAATGCCAAAGTAAGAAAAACACATACCCACTCCCAATTTTATTAAAGTTTTCAAAAGCAGTCTATCAGGCTGTTTTGATAGTGGCTGGCTGACGTGTATGATTTGCTTGTTTTAAGATGACCTGTGACATCACTTGAGAGACTTTATGGCGATCTGTGAGTTACATGTATGAAAATATGCATATCTCTCCAGAAAACCAGACAATAAAAAAATTGATATTCACACCAAACTGTTCAACCATGTGAAGTGCTAGTTTGAATGGTTTCATTCTTTACCATGCTTATACTTTACCAGAAGCAGCTGACTGCATTTTGCATGTTGCTTTGGAGTACAACATACATGTTGCAAAAGCAAAAGGATTTCAAGGCTCTAGAATGTACCAGTAATTTCAAAACACAGGAATAAATATCCTCATACCTTGCTATTTTTACGCTAAAGGAAGAGCCTAAAGTACATACATTGTCATGACTCAGCATGGCTCCTTTTGGCTTCCCAGTTGTTCCGGATGTGTATATTAATACACAGCACTGATTCGGCTTTTGGGAGTTAATAACGTCATCCAGAGTAGTATCAGATATGTCATCTCCCAACTCCAGAAACTCTTCCATCTAGAACATGTAACAGAAAATACAGGATATCAAATGGCTTCTTACAAGTTGGAAAGATGCAGTACCTTATCAGCCTCAAAAATGACAGAAAATTTCAGTGCCCTGCTCTGAACACGCTTCCAAGGCAAGTTCCACCAGGTCTTGACTATGTAAGAATTATAGTAAGACTAGCTTAGAACTTTATGTGTGAATTGCAAACAGGCAATCTAAAATTGTGCTGCCATGAGTCTTTTCAGTGTCTAAGAAGGGAATGGTAATACTGTTCCTCCTCCAAAATGGATATTATGTACAAGTCATGGAGGCTAAAATTCTGTTACTATCTCACACTGTTAGAATGATTTTGAGTCTTATTTAAAGGAATCTGGATGCACTGTTTTTAAGTAAGAGCACACTTATGACGTTCCATCTATAATTCCTTCTCCTCTATATAAATCAAATATAAATATAAAGCAATTGGTTGAAAGCTTCTTTTTGCAAAAGCATCATCATCATCTAGATGTTTGCCCAATTATCTGCTATTTCATAGCAAACAGAGCATATGATGCTGGTCACAACTTCCATTCAAATTTGCCTCAATCTAGAATGAGCTAAACCTTTTATGATGCTGGACTTTTGTGCCACACAAATTGGCCCACACAGAAGAATGCTGAACCTGATCCTCTATGCTATATTGGTTGCTCCCAGATACTTCTACTGCATGCACCTGACATGCTGCTAAGTGTACCATTGATTTCAATGCTAACTGAAAACTAGGACATAACAAAATTTAAGAAAGTCAATAAGCAAATTGTGAGTTTCCCACTGGAATCAGATGATTCATACTGTGCTACAGAACTGTGTTATTCAAGTGCAAGATGCAGCACCTCCATGCTTCAATGATTTTCTGGAAATGTATCTAGGACCACACAGCAGTAAAGGGGATAATGCAAGGTAAAAAAGGAGAGTTTGTGCTTGAGGGGGGAGTTCCTTGTTTTCTTCAGGCCTCCGCCACTGCCAGTGTGCTACTAAGGTTACAATAATTAGCCTCTGTGGCACCCAGAATTCCTTTTCTTGGGGGTAAGCCTGTCCTAAGGATTCTTCTAATTACCAATCATCAGTTTTATACTTTCTTTGAACAAACCACATCTCTGAAAAGAGAGACACTACAATGCTGTCGTGATTTAACCTGGCTGGCAACTAAGCACTACGCAGCCACTCGCTCACTCCTCCCCCTCCCTCAGTGGGATGGGGGAGAGAATCGGGAAGAAAATAAAAGGTTAGAGCCGAGGGCTGAGATAAAGACAGTTTAATAAGAGAAAATAATAATAATAGTAATAATGAGAATGATAACAGAATATACAGAATATACAAAACGAATGAGGCACAATGCAATTGCTCACCACCCACCGACCGATGCCCAGCCCGTCCCGAGCGGCGAGCAGTCTCCCCGCGACCGACCAGCCAACTCGCCCCGAGCATGACGTTATATGGTATGGAATAGCTCTTTGGTCAGTTTGGGTTAGCTGTCCTAGCTGTGCTGTACTCCCAGCTTGCTATGCACCTGGCCGAGCAGGAGAAGCTCAAAAAAGTCCTTGAGTAGTCTGAGCACTACTTGGCAACAGCTGAAAACATCAGCGTGTTATCAACATTCTTCTGGTACTAAATCCAAAACACAGCGCTATGCCAGCTACTATGAAGAAAATTAACTCTATCCCAGCCAAAACCAGGACAAATGCACAGCTCTGTAGCAAGTAGAGGATATGTCACATCCTATCCCTTCCCACAGAATGTGGCTGCATCAATAGCCCTAGCTCCTGGAAAGCCTGGAGGTGTCGAGGATGTGATTGTTTCTATGTGACTTAGCAGTTGTTCCTGTTTTCCTGACCTTACTGTCTTCTCATACTAGAATGCATCAATCACTGTGAATCTGTTGCCTAGGCTTTGCTTACTGAACAGTACTTGCAACAGACAGTGTTCCCACTCCACAGAGCGTGAAAGGTACAAACAGTCACACACACTACTGACTTTGCATTTGACTTCTGGAAACATGCACGGATCCAGTGAACCAGCACTCTGCCCTTACTGCAGCAATTGCTCATTACATGTTAGCTGTCAACTTGCAACACAAATCCCTTTTATCGAATGCCATGTGGTTTTGGTGGTTTGCTTTAGATCAAGCCTAACAAACAATCATTTTTACCTTTGGTGACTCGGTTTCCAATTTTTCCTTTAGATGACATCAACTATGGCAACTGTCAGGCACTCCCACAGTGACCTTTCTCCATTGAGAAAATGTGTCTAACTTAACACCTGAACAGGGGTGTTTTCAAATATATCAGTTCTCAGGCATTTAGGTTTCAGTAGCTGAATGCAGTTTCAGAATTAATTACTAGCACCTACTCATTTTATTAAGAAATATAAATAGCAAGATCATATTTGTATTTTTTTTTATTGTACTGAGATGCAAGGCATACTCTGTACCAGTACGTATAGTATTGTAACAATAACTGTTTATTATTAACAGTTATATGCTATTCAACATAGCAAAAGAAGAGATGATCAAAATGTGCAGAAGATTTTTCTTTGTACCTAACCCCTCAGATTATCAAATTGCAAATATTTAAAAATATTTCTACACTGTTCACTCTTCATTAGTAACTTTTTTCCCCAGTTGAAGATTTTCAGCCCAGAATCTGATAGTCTGTAGTTTACTTAAAATGCTGATTTCTGTATTCTTACTACTTAACTATTTTCAGTTATATTTTCAAAATATACTGGAGTACCATGTTTACAAGAATCTGTTCTGCTTAAAGTCCTCACATTTCTTAAATGAAAGGCTGGACTTCTACCACTCAAGTTTCTGATCCTGGCTTTGTCCCTTTTTCCACTTTATTTTTACCACATGATACAAAGATTCTATGTATACTAAGAAAACATGCTCCTCCGTGTAGTTCATAGTTATTTCTCTTCACTTGTTGCCTATCACCAGAAATACTTGGTGCAAACAAAATGCAACTATCATCTGTAAAAGTACAAGCATTTTCATGGTCTTGGATCCAGTGTAACTAACCACAATTCAGTTTTCACTAGCACGAGTGGAACTTTTATTTTTAACAGTTTGAGGGTACACATTCCCACCTGAAGCCTATAGGCGTTTTGTTAATCCAGTCAAATAAAAAGCCAGGAAGACACAAACCAGACAGTTAAACAAGGTAGCTCTAATTTTAAAAGTCAAGTATCAAACATGAAGTTACAGGTAAATTAAACATAAAAGGTTGATAAAGCTTTTGAATATGTTTCCTGGAACACAGCAATGCATTCTAAATGGTAGACATTCCACAGATTAAACAGTAGAAATTCATCAAATAAAATAATACCCCATGAATTATAACTCTGTTCTAGCATTCACATACCGTATACAAATTTGGATGCCTCTCTGGAATGGAGTCCTTATACAGTACAACAGCTTTCAAGTGTGGCAACCGACTCCAGATCTGTTGGATTTTTTAAAAACAGATTTATTATTTATTATTTATTATTCATATCTCGTGAGGGTTTTTTTTTCCACTAAAATACTGCCAAAATTGTAATGGCTTGACAGTCACAAAACCCATCCTGTTTCCTTCTACCCACAATTAGCTCAACAAGGGGCGTAGGAGAAGGAAAAAAGGAAACTCTACACAGTCTACTCTAGAAAATGTTTTCAGTCAAAAAATCTGAAACAAACAAAAAAACCAACCCCAAACCCCCTAAAAAACCAAATCAGAAATTACTCCTCAGCATCCTTTCTCATATTGCACCAAAGAGCACACCAAGGAACAATCTAGGTCAAGCTAGAAGCTGACCCTAGCTGCTGTGATTACCAATAGAGGAAGCCCCTCAGCAAAAACTGTTGTTAAACAGAAGAGTTCTACCTTCTTAAAGAAAAAAAAAGAAAGGAAGCGATTTGCACATTTTAAGGATAAATAAAAACATAAAGCTGCAGGCTTACAGGC